GTCCGTTCATTTTTATTACTGATTATTTCATTTGTTATGTATACTCCAGTTTCCTTTATTCATTCATCCACTGAAGACATTTGAGATCTTGCCAGTTCTTCCTATTAGTTTTAGATAGGTTGTTATGTGACCATAACATTTCACTTTCCCAGTATATACATCCAAAAGTGTGATGGCTGAGTTGTGCGGTAAATGGATGCTTATCTTTATAAGACACTGCAAAACTTTTCTCAAGGTGATTGAAATATTTTATATTCTCACCAGCAATGCATAAGAAATGTGTGCATTCTTTTTGCCAGAGCAGAAAACTGGGCCCTCCAACAAAGAGTATATTTCTGTGGGTACCTGGGCATCTGCCTGCACAGTGGCACTTCATGTTTTTTAAAATTAAATGAAAACTCCAATGATGTGTAAACCTTTCTGTTCTTTGGTAGGGTTGTGTCCACCACAAAGAGACAGAAGACTATTCTTATCCTTTGACCTACTATCAAATACCTTTGTCCACCTGTAGTTCAAAAGACTGAAAGAAAATGCTTCTGTTGTTTAGGGGGAAGTTAGGAGTAAAGGCATTTTGAATTTTAAATTAGAGTTTCCCCCCCATAAGCAAGCTTCTTGACACTGGAATCAATATTATGCTACTTTTATGGGTAATGGGAGAATGAATTAAGCAAATATTACCTTGAGAACTACTGGTAGTGTAGTCTATGTAGCCTCTAGTGCTGACTAAGGAAATAGGAGAGAAGATTGTCAACTCCCTTTTAATGCCATGATCTTTTGTGGATACTCTTGTTCTTTCATGTCAATACACCAACCAGTTCATCTCCTCCAACTGCATTTCATCTTTCTAAGGAAGGAATAACAAGAGTTAATGTATTGCCTTTCCTATTACCAAATTATAATGCTCTATTTTTGTAATTTGGGGTACCAGTCACCTAGGCAGTGGTTTATCATCCATCCTGTAGGTTTCTGAGTTCATGAAGCCAAATAACATCAATTTTAACAAAGTGAGTCCTGCGAAAAAACATGACCTTAAACTAGTCTTATAATTCTGTTTTCTGAGTTTTTCTTCCAACAATAAATATAGCCTGTGAAATAACTTTATATAAAAAGCTCTATTTATTTAGTTTGGCAAATATGCTCTATTTTTGCATAGGCACAAAACATTCTAAATTAATATTTTAAAGATGTTTTTAAAATGTATTCTTAAACTATTGAGTTTTTGACAATTCTTTTAAAGCATGATTGGTGATAATGTAAAATTATGTATTTCAGAGTGATAACATAACTAACATTAATAATGAAATTACTGGCAAAGCATGGTAACTCTTGCCTGTGATTCCAGCTACTTGAGAGACTGAGAGCAGAAAGATCTTGGTTTGAAGACGGACCAGGCAAAAGTTAGCATGACCCCATGTCAACTAATAGGCTGGGCAGAATAGCATGCACCTGTCATCCCAACTACTTGGAAAATGTAAACAGGAGGATTGCAGTCAAGACCAACCAGGGCAAAATGAGACCCTATTCGAAAAAAAAAAATAACCTAAAGCAACAAGGGCTGTGAGTGTGGTTCAGGTGGTAAAGTGTCTGCCTAGCAAGTGTGAGGTCCTGAGCTCAAATTCCAGTACTGCCTAATTAATTATTACTATATACTACATTAAGTTTTATAGAAATTACAAAGCAAATGCTGAAAACTTTTCATTTAATCTACTTAAGGCAGTCTAATTGACCTGAAGTTTTAAATGAATGTTATAATAGGATTCTTAAACTTTTAATATTTTATCCTGCCTTTTTCATTTTAGTCATGTGTTGCTTTATGATGGGGATACTTTTTGATGATTGCTTCATAGACAGTTTTATTGTTGGGCAAACATCCTAGTTACACAAACTGAGATCAGTAGACATCACTTGGTGATAAAATCTCTTGGAACCACCATCATACACGAACACCACTGCAGTTGGCCAGTCATTGCTATGCAGGATGTGATTGCACTTGGGTCAACTTCAAATCAACTTTCTGTTAACTACAGTGAAAGAAAGGCAAAGATTCATGTCAATTCTTTCAATCAGAATAGGTACTAAAAAGTATGGTTCCTAGAAGACTAAGCACTGTGTAATAATTTCAAGAAAATGTGTTTTCCGACAAAAGAAATGGTCTCTAAACTGAAGAGACAACCCACAGAGTGGGAGAAAATATTTGCTAGCTATACATCAGACAAAGGACTGATAACCAGAGTATACAGGGAACTTTAAAAACTAAACTCTCCCAAAATTAATGAACCAATAAAGAAATGGGCAACTGAACTAAACAGAACTTTCTCAAAAGAAGAAATTCAAATGGCTAAAAAATGCATGAAAAAATGCTCATCTTCTCTAGCCATAAAGAAAATGCAAACCAAAACCACACTAAGATTCCACCCACCTCACCCGTTAGACTAGCCATCATCAAAAACACCACTAACAACAGGCATTGGTGAGGATGTGGGGAAAAAGGAACCCTTGTACTCTGCTGGTATGCAAGCTAGTGCAACCACTCTGGAAAAAAATTTGGAGGCTTCTTAAAAATTTAAACATAGATCTGCCATATGATCCAGCAATCCTACTCCTAGGGATATACCCAAAGGATTGTGACGCAGGTTACTCCAGAGGCAACTGCACACTCATGCTTATTGCAGCACTATTCACAATAGGCAAGTTATGGAAATAGCCAAGATGCTCCACTACTGACGAATGGATTCAAGAAATGTGGTATCCTATACACAATGGAATTTTATGCAGCCATGAAGCAAAAGAACGAAATGTTATCATTCGCTGTAAATGGATGGAATGGAGAAATCATCGAGTGAAGGTTAGCCTGGCCAAAAAACCAAAAATCGTATGTTCTCCCTCATATGTGGACATTAGATCAAGGGCAAACACAACAATGGGATTGGACTATGAGCACATGATAAAAGCGAGAGCACACAAGGGAGGGGTGAGGATAGGTAAGACACCTAAAAAACTAGCTAGCATTTGTTGCCCTTAATGCAGAGAAACTAAAGCAGATACCTTAAAGCAACTGAGGCCAATAGGAAAAGGGGACCAGGTACTAGAGAAAAGGTTAGATCAAAAAGAATTAACCTAGAAGGTAACACCCACGCACAGGAAATCAATGTGAGTCAATGCCCTGTATAGCTATCTTTATCTCAACCAGCAAAACCCCTTGTTCCTTCCTATTATTGCTTATACTCTCTCTACAACAAAATTAGAGATAAGGGCAAAATAGTTTCTGCTGGGTATTGAGGGGGGGAGTGGGAGGGGGTGGAGTGGGTGGTAAGGGAGGGAGTGGGGGCAGGGGGGAGAAATAAACCAAGCCTTGTATGCACATATGAATAATAAAAGAAAAATGAAAGAAAAAAAAAAAGAAAATGTGGTATTTATATACAATGGAATTTTACTCAGCCACAAAGAAAAATGAAATCTTATCATTCGCAAGTAAATGGATGGAACTAGAGAACATCATCTTCAGCAAAGTTAGCCAGGCTCAGAAGACCAAAATTCGTATGTTCTCCCTCATATGTGGACTTTAGAGCTAGGGCAAATACAGCAATGTAGTTGGACTTGGGTCACATGATAAGAGTAGAGTACATTCAGGAGATATGGGGATAGGTAGAAAACCCAAAACAGGAAAGCATTTGATGTCCCCACTCCAGAGGAACTAATACAGAAACCTTAAAGCAACAGAGGTCAACAGGAGAAGGGGATCAGGAACCAGTGTAAAGATCAGAGATGAATCAACTTGGGTTGTAACACATTTGTACATACATGTAATATTAGGAATCTCTCTGTATAGCTATCCTTATCTCAACTAAGAAAAACGCTTTGTCTGTCTTACTATTGCTTATGTTTTCTCTTCAACAAAATTAGAGATAAGGGCAGAACAGGTTCTGCCTGGAAGCGAGGGGGGGGTGGGGAGAAGAGAGAAGGAGTGGGGAGTAGGGGGGAGAAATGGCCCAAACAATGTATGCATATGTGAATAAATGAATAAAAAAAAGAAAATGTGTTTTCCTATAAATGTGTAATATTAATTACAGTATAGAACCAAGACTGGCCTCTCCACAGGCCCTTGCTCACTCATTCCACCTCAGTTTCCTTTTCACACTTGAAGGATGAATACTCAAAAGTATGGTTTATAAATTAGATAATGTTGAGTGGATCTATACCATATAAAAATAATGTTCTTATTGGTGATGTAGACATAGCTTACTTAAAATCTTTTGAACTATTGATTTGAAATAAATTTTTCTGCAGATAAAATAGAAAATATGATGGTTCTAAAAATATCAGTAGCATTGAAAGCAAATACAATATTTACTTGCACACAACATATATGTCTAATATTATAACAATTAAAAATTATATTTTAGGTGAGAAGAAGCTATGTTCTGCAGCCATGAGAAGTAATGCTGTGCTGGCTAAGCAAAAAGAACTAAATAATAAGAGACTTTTTAAAACTCCCTGTAATCACTGTTTTCTTCAGTAGTTTTAGCTTTAATGTTCCCCAGTGTGCTCAAAGTATGTTGAAGTATCTGCTGACTCAAAGGCAAAGGATTGGTGAAAAGTTAAAATTATGAAAAGCCTGCATATGGACTTCCTACACATTCATATGCACAAACACATACCGATTAAGGAAGGGATAGTTTGTAGGAAATTTCTATTAGCCATAAAAATAGGAGATTTAAAAGAAGGAGAGAGAAAATTTCTCCAGCTAATTAGTGGTCACCAAAATGATAGAAGAAAACTGCTAATCAGAAAACAGGTTTAATAAACCAATATTTGCTCAGTGCTCCAAGTATACTACCCATACGGGCTTCTGATTGGGGGAATGAAATTGACATTTATTACAAATCCTGAGGTTTTATAACTGTTGACCATGACGTTTAAAGAACACAGTTCTTATGTTCCATTAGAGCAACACTAAACTTGAAAATCCAACATGCATCTGAATGATGGGGCTCGTGCCCCTAGCAAGATTGGTAAGTGGCTTCAAGCAAGTGCAGTGGCAAATTATCCTTATCTGGCTTGGGAAGTCCTTCACAGGGAGCCAGTGACAGATGCAAAGAGATCCCAGGAAACAATTCTCCCATTTTTCCTTGCTTATAGAGTGCATTCTCGTCACTGTTCGTAGTCCCATTCAAGTCCTTCCTCGTGCAGTTACTAAAATAAAGAAGCATAACTTTTTAAAATAGAGAACTCATGGGCTAAGTAATAAAGAGATTAGCAAACAATAAATAAGATGGTTAGATCAGAAGTAAGACTGGGAATTAGATTTAAAAACAAACCAAAAAAAGTGAGATCAAGGAAAACAGAAAGCTAGAGATCCAAATAATCTTCAAATACAAAGTGAAGTACAAAATGCAATCTACAGTAAAGTAACAATTGGCAAACTTTAAAAAGAATTTTAGAATCATCACAGTAAAAGGTTGAGAAATTTAAGGTTGATCTTAAGAGTCAAAACTTTGAAAAGAGAATTTAACCTTAACATAATTTGAATTTAAAGTTAGTAAAAAAAAAGGCAATAGGGAATGAAGTAGGCAGAGTCAGAGCTGTGAAGAGTTAGGGCAGATTCTCAGAGGAACCCACCACCTGCAGGTGCTACTGAGGCATTGGCAGAATTTATGCCAGAGGTGCAAATCGCCCTCTAGTGGCCACAGAGGAGAAATGCTTTTTTTGCTTAACAAACACCCTCCCTTCACTCAGTTTGTACCCCATGTTTTTCCTTATTTTTATCTACTAGAATACTATTTTATTTAGATTATTTGGAAAGGCTCATTTTTTAGACATATCCTTAAGTAGAAAGCAACTTATGAAACAGTCAATATGATATAAAGGAACATTAATCAAATTGCAAGAAAAAGTCTATGAAGCCATAAAAACCAGCAAAAATTTTAAAACCGTGCTCATTTTTGAAAAAAAAAAAATCACACAGCGAAAAAAGTTCAGTTTAATGCTTAACTTTTGTTAGTTTTAATGAAAGTAGACTGTTTCCAAGAGAAAAAAGAAGAGCAAATAGAATGTCTTTCCTTTTCAAAAACATGAGATCTATGAAGTAGCCAGTCATTAAAGAATTTTTAAGAGAGATTGCCACATTTATTTGATTATGTGTAATTCACCTAGAAATTTCAATCTAGTTTATTTATATGTAGTTTTTAAAGTGATTGGAACTTAGGTCTCCCATGATCATTGTAATAGAACACAACGAATGTTTAGTTTTCCTGAATATATGTATTCATTTAAAAAGAGCAGGTTTAAGTATTACATGACAAATATTGTGGAGTCCCTTTGCAAATTTTAAAATGTTGTGTAAATGTATGACAATATTTTGATGGCAATATTTAATGAGTTGCCAGGGAAAGTGATTCAGTTCAGACTTATGTAGTACATTTGTATTCACTTCAATAGTCAATATTTTCAAATTACATAAATTTCACCTAAAATATTAAAGAAACTGGGAGTAATGTTTTCATTAAGTAAACCTTAGATTGGGTCATGTAGTACTTGTGCTTTTTTTAATCAAAAGTAATGGATGGGACACTAACAAAACAACTTTCATTAACAGTTGTCCATATGGTAAAATAATTCTAACATGTGATGATGACCAAACAAAGCACTGGGAAATATTTTGCTATTGGTGATGGAAGACCAATAGAAGCTTGAAACATTAAGACTGGTGAAAGAGTCATTTAAACACATCTCATGAGTTTTGTTTCCTAATTTTTTCTCCTTCCAGTTTTGGTAAATACAGTATGATTTTAAGATGCAGCCTTTTCTTGAGGACTAAAATCACTTATTAAATAAAAGTGTCATGTATTTATAAGACTGAAAAATTTCAAAGATATTTAGCCTTATTCTTCAACATTTCTTAACACCTTATTCATGTAATATAATTTAGTTTTAGAATATCCTTTTTAAAATGTAAATTCTTTTCTTTCTGTCTGTAAATTGTACCACTCTAGTTTAATAAATAATAGATTATTTATTTGTTGGCAAAATAGAAAATATCAAATAAACCACTCAACCCAAGAGGAAGTTTGATGTCTGTTGGACTATGATTTGTAGTTGGTCATAAACATCTTGGAAGCTTCCAAAAACTTGTTCCAGAAATATAATCTGCTTAAAAAGTCGTATGCCTCAGAGTTGTTCCTTGACAAACATTGCTCCACTGCAACATGGTACAGTGATCAATGAATCTGGGAAATGCTGCATACTGTGCAAGTTCTCTTGGACTTTCAAATGCACACCCATACACCAGAGACTCTGATAATTTCTGCAGCCAGCCTATTTAACTTTTAACAATTTTTCATGATTTCATATTTTTAATGAAACATCAGGACAGTAAAGGATGCTGTCAGAAGTCTATTCAATAGACCATTTTCTGCTCAGAAATGCCAGTTTGATGCCATAGGACTTGGAGATAACTGTCATCAAGGTCTTACAGGGCTAAGATGATCAAAAAGATATTAACTAGGTTTACAGTACAAAAGGCTACGGTACAGTAATGACCCCTGAAGATGGCTTTTCAGGAATCTATATTTATTCAACTTAAAATACTGGCATTTGTTCTGAATCCTTCCATTTTTTAAAGATGAAATGTTGATAACAGATTTTAGTTTACTCAGTTTTGAGCTGCATCATGGGACTCTAGTCTCTATCATGGCAGAAACAATATTTGATTTTGCTCACACTCATAAGCCCAACACTAGTTCAGAGCCTGATTCCAAGTAAGCTTTCAATAAAATTCATTAATGAACTAGATAGTATTCTATTTATGTCCTATTTTGAATACTAGTTAAAATAGATAATTTTCTCTAAACCTCAAAAATCTTGAAATCACTGAATGAAATGAAAGTCAATTTTGCTAAAAATATATATCGCAGACAGAGTTGGCTTCCCATCTGCGGCATTGCCTAGGTACCCAACAAAGATTACATTCCAGCTCCTCTTGCATTTTATGAGGCCACGTGACTAATTTTAACCAACAGAGCAAGGGGGTGGGAACGATTTATGTCACTTTTAGGTCCAGCCTTATTCCAGCAGCAGGCTAAATGCAGAGTATCCCTAGACTCTAAGGATGATGGGGCCACAGGATTCTGGGTTCTTGACTTACCAGAAGAAGGAAAGGAAATCATTAAATGAAACACACATATTGAACTATTTACTGAATTCAGAAGTATGGAATTAAACCATGATATCTTGGAATTTGTTTCAGCAGGTAGGATTACCTAACATCTCTGTTCGTGTCTACAAATGGGTACACACAAAATTACATCTTCATATTAGAAGCATGTGCACCAGAAAGTTGAAAGTGGTATTCTCTGGAAAATAAAACTTAATCAGTTTTATTTTTGCCAAATCACCATATATTCTAAATTTTCTTCAGCATATAGGCATCACTGTGCATTTGGTTTATAATCAAATGGAAAACAAAATAAATGTTATATGTATTTTAATGATTACCAGGTTCAAAGCCTCTGTCATTTTTGTTTCGGAGATTCTTCCTCACTTCCCAGACCCACATGTTTTTTTTTAATTTTTATTTTATTTATGTGCATACAGTGTTTGGGTCATTTCCCCCCTTCCCCTCGCCCCCTCCCTCTCCCTTCTACTCCCTCGCTACCTGGCAGAAACTATTTTGCCCTTATCTCTAATTTTGTTGAAGACAGAGTATAAGCAAATAGGAAGGAACAAGGGGTTTTGCTAGTTGAGATAAGGATAGCTATACAGGGAGTTGACTCACATTAATTTCCTGTGCATGTGTGTTCCTTCTAGGTTAATTCTTCTTGATCTAACCTTTTCTCTAGTTTCTGGTCCCCTTCTCCTATTGGCCTCAGTTGCTTTAAAGTATCTGCTTTAGTTTCTCTGCATTGAGGGCAACAAATGCTAGCTAATTTTTTAGGTGTCTTACCTATCCTCACCCCTCCCTTGTGTGCTCTTGCTTTATCATGTGATCAAAGTCCAATCCCCTTGTTGTGTTTGCCCTTGATCTAATGTCCGCATATGAGGGAGAACATATGATTTTTGGTCTTTTGGGCAAGCTAACCTCACTCAGAATGTTCTCCAATTCCATCCATTTACCTGCAAATGATGCATAAAATTCTTCATGGCTGCATAAAATTCCATTGTGTATAAATACCACATTTTCTTAATCCATTCATCAGTGGGACCCACCTGTTTTTGACCTTGCATTTAATTACTACAGCAAACTGCCGGTCATTGCTCTCCTCGCCCACAAGCATTGGAGGAGTAACCGATCCAATTCATGCTTTGCCTACTCAAATAGAGGAGTGCAGGATAAGGGAAAAGAGACCCCTGGATCAATTTATTTCATATAACTGGGTTCCTCACTCTATTGTTTCATATTTGTAACTTTTTATTCTGAAATAATTTTATTATTTTTTTATTGTTGTACTGGGGATATACTGTGACATTTACAAAAGTTCTCACAACATATCATAGTTGAATTCACCCCATCATTCTCTTTTATCCCCCTCCTCCTATTCCTGGAATAGTTTCAACAGGTCTAATTTTTCCATTTACATACATGAGTACATAATATTCACCCTCCTACATCTTAAACTTACAAAAATTGCAAAAATATACAATGAACTCCTTTGAATGTAAACCTTCCATCTAAACTCCTCACTTGAAGTTTTTACCACTCTCTCTATAGATAGAAGATAGATAAACAGATAGATGTCTGAACCACTGGAGGATAAGTTAAAGAGGAGCATTCAATAATTTGTTAAAATTATTGAAAACATACATTATTTCTGGAATTCCTCTTGTAGTAACTTAGCTGTAAGGAAATGCTTAGAGATATGAGAAGGTTTTCATCATAAGACTGTTAATCAGTGGTACTTATCATATGGAAAAACGAGAAATGGCCTTGATGCACAATAATAAGTTTGAGCACAGGATGCAGTGCAATTATATTCTTTCCAAATGTTCCTTTGTTTGCCTCTATAGCCATTTGAATAAAGGCCAATGCTCTTATTCTGCCTGGCCCTGTGGTCTGCATCACTCGTACCATTGCTAGCACCCCTTCAGAAAAAATCATCATCCAAGGTATCCTCAACTTTGATAAATATTGATTCTATCTGACATGTCTGCCTCACCCTCCCTGCCTCTCATGATCAAACCAGGGACCATGAGACATGGAGGCTCCATTCTCTTTCAGGTCTCAGGATTTTCTGCCTGATAACCTTATAAAGCAGGTAAGGTTATCTTAATCTAAGTCAGCAACACAAAGCTTCTATGAAAAAGGATCTATAAGAAGCCTGGGCTATTTAAGAAGGTCTATGCAGCATAAGGGCAAAGAGCTTAGAATTATATTCTTATATTATATTCTTAGCTTAGAATATAATCAGAATTCCACAGAATTCTTAGAATTAGGGTTCTAGTCTATCTTAATTTCAAATAAAGAGTTAATTCCTCAAAATCAGATCTATTCATGAGAATTCCTAGGAGAATACAATGCCAACTTTCTTCTTAGTGACATCAATGGAAAAAGATTACTTTGGCTGCTTCCACAAATGCAAGCTTCCAAAGCTTTTAATTTTCTGGTCAGTGCATTCACCTTCCTTACCAAGAACAATGGAAACAAATATAATGTTATTCAATTTCCAATGGAAATCATTTGACTTTCATACCTCAGATTCAGATTTTTTTGGAAGTACTAGGGTTTGAACTCAGGGCTTCATGCTTATTAGGCAGGCACTCTACCACTTGAGCCACATCTCTAGACCCAGACATTTTGAAATAAAAATAAATATGAACTTTCAAACAGGTAATGGCTGAGAAAATCACAGAATCTGATACAGCATTCATGAAATAAAAAAGAATATAACTATAAAACACATCTATAAATATTTCAAGCATTTCATCAAATAGATGAATTCTAATAATCAAGAAGAAAGCACTCCAAAACATAATATTTATTTAAAAGATAATGTAGTTTATCTTGAAATCATTGTTTCAGGGACAGAAAGGATTTAAACATAGAATAGAAAAATGAAACATTCTTAACTGATTTTTATTGACAACAATAGAATCTTCACTCAAGGAATGTATAAGATACTACACCAATTTTAATTTCATTTAGTTCATTAATATGATACAAGCATATGAAGATAGGACATAAAACAAGATTTAGCTAGCCTAACTACACAAAGAGAACAGAAAGAATGACCAGTTTTCAGTTGGTAACAATTTTATATTGAAAGTTAGTTTATTAACTAATATAAAAATAACTCTGCAGTAGCAACCGTGACTCAAATTGAGTCAGTGTGCAGCACGTGTGAAACACAAATGCAGCTGGTGAGGTACAACACAGGCCTCAAACCCGGCAGCACCAGGTCACATTGTCCAATTGAGCTGGAATCTTAAGGACTCCTCACAGCACAGGGTGTGTAGCCAGTGACATTTCTCCTCAGACTCCAACCAGCTACTACTATTTTTCAAAATCTCCTTCTTTTGAGATAGTGACATGGCTTAAGAAAAAACTCAACTGCCACTACTGAGCAAAGAAGGGGAAATATACCTTGGAATGGGTTTGGAATGCTAACAGACTCAGAAACGTGAGAAGACTAGAGCAGACGTCATCAGAAAGCATGGAAATAAGGGGCCCTTGGGCAATTTAATGCTAAGGACAGATGGACTGTTGTTACACTCGGAAGGTGACACCAAAGAACACTAAAAAGAAAACTGGAATGAAGAGTCTTTCCTTTTATATGGTTATGGTAAAAGCATTTTTTAGAAGAAATACGGATGCCAAGTTGAACAATGAGTATTTAAATAAAATAGAATGTAGAAGGAATTAATTCTTTTCTGTCAGGCTGACTGCCCAATTTTTAAAAGTGGTTCTGTTAAGTCAGGCCAGTTTTATTTTATTAGCCAACTGTACAGAGCATTAGACATTTCTGAGGAAAAGCAGGGAAGCAGTGATATCTGTCAGGTAGACTGGGGAGGAGGGAGAGGTGAGAGAGTGTATGCAGTTAAGCTCTTCATGCTTGTCACACCCATCTCTTCATGCCCAAAGTGGACAGTCTTTAACCTGTACCTTAAACGTCAGGTTCAGATCACAGATGCTATGGTCATCAAGTGCAACAGAATTAGGATCCCAAGTACCCGGTGCTCAGCGTGCTGCCAAGCATCATAAACCACATGAGCAACTTGAGAGAGAAGTTTCTGTGCAGAGGAGAGGAAGATGATACTCCACACAGCAAAGGTTCTGCTTTATACGGTCTTTCTATATCCGGAGGTAATGCTGTCATTCCCTGAATCTGAAAAAGGAAAGAGCAGACAATGAAAAGATAGCATATGGTTTAAGAGCAGGATCGTGGCCAAGCTTGCCCAGTCACCTACATTTTTGCAGAGAATAAAGGGGACAAACCATGGTGGTCAAAGGAACAAAACATCAGGTAATCAGAAACTTAGGGTTTAAGAAGGAGGCGGAAAAGAGGACCAGACACTCCTAAGAAGAGCCAGAAAGCAAGCTCCCATTCTTTTCGAGTCTCTCATCCCATCCTATTTTCACTTTCTTTCAACTTTAGTTTTAGGTGACTTGTCCTCTTCAAAGGGACCTTTAAGGAATCAGGTACTTTCAGTCAACCCAAATAATCATTGAACAAATAAACTCAGACATGTCAAAGGGCAATCTGACCATTTGATTTATGGATGTGTCTCAACCTTAATTTTTTTCAGGTCAAATGTAACATCAAAGTTCTCAGAGAATAAAACAAAGCAGGGCTTACCGACCACTCTGCATTGTCTGTCTTGGAGCATCTCACGTTCACTGGCAGACTGAGGACAAGCTTGTTGAAGGACAGACCTTCCTTCTTAGTCCATTTAAACTTATTCATTGCATCCATGAAAGAAAGGTTTTTATACTGCTTGGGGCTTTTGATAATGAAAGGCCATGTCCTAAAATTAAATAATCACCAATTACATTCAGAAAAAATGTACATATTTCCCACAATTTTCAATATCCTAAACATAGACTTCATACTTGTTCCTTACATGCCCTCTCTATAGCATTTATGAACTTATTACCAGTTATTAAATTAAATAAGGAATATTTTTAAAGAATGATATTTCTTGTTTTAATAGTAAATGTGTATTACTTTTAGAAAGATAGTTTTGCTCCAAAACTGAGAGCTTCCTCATAGTCTTACAATTCTAGTTAACAATACAATATAGCTGGTAAGTATTCATTTTGGAAGAGTGAGATGCTAATGATCAAGAAACCCCAGGTTCTTGAAAGATACTGTAACAGGGACAAAATTCATATAGTGGAAAAGCCTGACCCCTGCTGGTTGTTCTGTTTTGGCTAGTTAGAGTGAGAAGATAAATATAACTGATTTGAATTTGAATCAGTGGTTTAAAAATTTGACTGAGAAAAAATACACTGTGCTCAATATACTCAGCTTTCATTTGCCACTCTAAAAAATGCTAAATATCCAAGAAAGGAAGAAGAAATCATAGTAAAATGACACAACAAGCTTGAAATGATACCCTTCACATTATGTCTTTCATTAAATATTTTATAGATTGACTTCTGGTAAAAGGAAGTGTTAAATGTTGGCACACCAAAAAAATTTACATGAACTAATGTATGGATGTTACAGATTATCATGGGTGACCAACAGGTATTTGGCTCCAAGATAGCCCAAGAAGATGTCCCAGGGATTTCTAGTAATTATCAAATAATTAGCCACCCATCAGTTAAGGTGGCTTAAAATATTAGATCATCACATTACTTTCACTTTTACATACATAACCTACTCAGGCACACTGAATATTATCTTTTTAAATAAGTTAGACAATCTTTAATAATTGTTTGGAGTTATGAAAATAAAATTTGAATGTTAAAAATGGAAATTATTTCTACACTCTTACAAGTGAGAAAATGAGAAAGACAATGGGTAATAAATGAAGACCTCTATATTCTTCAGGCCTAATTTTCTTTTCCCTCAATATGTATTTGTTGAGTTTTAAATGCATTATTTTAAACAAAGATCTTAGTTAAGTGCCATAAGTTAGGAACTACAAGGTCACATGACATCAAATACAAATAGCAATTACCTAAAATCTATGGCATTTTCTAATTACATTGTGGTGAAACATAGAGATATAATCTAGAATTAGAATAAAACAAATATTTGACTTGAAAGGAGCTATTAAATTTGCACACAATGTCCTTTTAAATATACTGCTAGATTTTATTAAATATAAAGTCAAACACTAAGATAAAATTTATTTTTCAAAAAGATAAGGTGCCTATTTTGAAAAGCAGAAATCAACTTTATAACTAGAGAAATGACAAGAGTCTGAAGGAGAAAATCATCAGTCTGCAACAACCTAAAACACCACAAGGTGGCACTGATTTTTACTAAGGTACTAAAATATAGATTGGAATTTTTGGCAGCCCTGATGATAAGAGTGAACACTGCAACCATATATGGAAATGAAATAAGTTTAAAAAAAAAACAAGAAATAAAAAAGCAGCGTTTATTGAAATTGAACATCATGAAGTGACATATGTAACCACATTTGCTAATTAGTGTATAGACAGGCAGAAAAAGGGCAAAACTCAATGGTTCATTGGAGACAATGCATGAGGATGGAGAACCTCTCAGAGATGGCCTCCTTGTCTCATATTTTTGTCCCTTTTCCACCCCTACTAATAAATTTCACATTTTCCATCTCTAACTTTCCAAGCTACTCTAACACCACACTTCAGATTAACTCCTGAAGAACAGGAGACAGAAATAGGAGATAGCTCAAATGAATATACTAATTAAAAAGCTCAAAAATACTGAGCTTTAAACAGAAACAGGAAGCCTTAATGTAGCAATTACTTCTGCTATTAGAAATATCAGGAATGTTATAGAAATGAAAGCAGTACATTTCTGCACATTCTGGGTACTGTGCAAATACCAACCTAGACACACCTATAAATAAAAAAGTATTATTTACACATAATGGTAGTTGATAAAAATTCTGTTAATGTTATGATTTAATATTGACAGGCAATTTTCCTTTGTAAATCCAGTCTAAATTCTCAGATGTTTTTCTTAGAAGGTAGCAACATTTATTGCAACACATAGCAGTACAGAGTAAGTTTTCATTTTGAGGCAAAACCAAAGCTTATTTATATTTGTAAATTCAAACCAATCAAGGAAAATTTTAATGGTTTTTACACCTTACTGTCCTGCTCTGAGTAAATTAAAAGCAAATGAAAATAATTTGAGACGAATTTCTCAAATTCCATTTCTGTTTTAAAATTTTTATTGCTAGAATCTTTCTTGAGAGTAGAGAGGCAGGAGGAAGGGAGAGCAAGATGGCAAATCTTACCAAGAAGCAGTGTCCACGTGCATGTAGTTGAATGAATAGCCTCATAAGTCTCCCTCCATCAAGCAAATATGATTAAAAATTAGTAAAATATACAAAAACTTATTAACAGACTTCTACTTCTGGCCATTTGTAGTAACTATCACCAACTTACTGTAAAAAACAACAACAAAAACCCTCAAAACTGATAAAACTACAGAATAGCTGGTGTTGGAGACTGGCAAACAGGCAGCAGAAAACTATGACCCCAAAAGGAAGGAAATAAATAAGATGTTCAAACATTATTTTCATTCTAGCTTTCTGCTTGGAAGCACTTTCTGGACCATTATGCAAGAAAGGGTATTTCCAAGAAATAAAATGACAATTTTAATAAATTAAGGAGATAAAAGTCAGAATTAAGAGAGTTTAAAGCACTAGAATTTTCAAAGTAGAGTACTGAGAGGAAAAAAACAAACCACACTGATAGCACCTTAAAAACCTGAGTAAGGGGCCAGAGGTGTGGCTTAAGTGGTAGAGAGCATGCCTAGCAAGCACAAGACCGTGAGTTCACATCCAGTAGCACAAAATAATGAATAAATAAAAATAATGTGACACCTATATTTAGGATAATATTCCACAAGGCTGGGGAAGGAATACCAATTTCCCAGAGCTCACAGATAGCTGGCAGACATTCAAGCTCCAGCTAGTCAGAGTGAAGCATCTTTGCAATTGACACAGTACAGACCTGAGAATGCGTCAGGCCCTAGTTGTAAAGCTAAGTAAGCCCTAAACATTTATTCTAACAAGGCTTTCAAAGAAGTAAAATAATCTAGTGCTAGTCAACATAAAATTCATTTTCTATATCTAATAAAAAATACTAAAAACATAAGGACACAATTGTGGGCCATAACCAAAAGGATTCTTCAAGATACAGAAACGACAGAGGCTACAGAATTAACAGACAAGAATATTAAAACATAAAAATATTGAAAAAATATGCAAAATGTCTACACTGAAAAATATAAAACAGTGCTGAGAGGAATGAAAGAGGACTGAGCGGGGAATCACACCATGTTCAAAGGAGAATATTTAATATTGCTAAGATGTCATTTCTTTACAGTTGATCTAGAGACTCAACATTATCTCATTCAAATCCCAGAAGTTTAAAAAAAAGAAAAGAAAGGAATTGGCAATGAAATGAACCTAGACTATCAAAATAACTTTGGTAAAAGAAAACAAATGACAAAAATTTAGAGACTTACATTCTCTTATTTCAAGACATCCTTGAAAACTGCAATAATCACATTATAACCGTAAGGCTACTCGTATATACAATCATGAAACAGAACAGAGTCCACAAAGAGTCAACAGATGGTCAACAGATTATCCAACAAATATCTAAAGTAATTCAATAGCAAAAAGAGAATTTTCTTTCTTCAAATAGTTCTTGGACAACTTGATATTCATATGAAAAATAACAAACTGAATTTACACACCACACAAAAAAATTTATTCAAAATGAATCATTCACCTAAAGGTAAAAGTTAAAAGGGGGAAAACACAAAGAAAATATTCACAATGTTGTGCAAAGATTTCTTAGAAAGGATATCAACAGCACAAAACAAAACAAACAATGATAGAATGAACTTTAATAAATACAGTTAAAATGAACACCAAGCTATAGATTGGGAGAAATCATCTATAAACCAATATCTGATAAAAGACTAATAGCCAAAGTAAAAATGAACTCTTACAATTCAATAATAAGGGAACAAACAATATTTAAAATTACAAAAACAATTTGACAAAAAATGTAAACACACATACACACAAACACAAACGCATGACTGCCGTAGAGTTTTACAGATAACCAAGTTCTCTTTCTTGCTGTGGTTGTGAAGAATAACTGTAGGATGTGCTGGGAATGCAAGATCCTGAGATAGAATGCGATTGGTTGGAACAGTACGGCCTCTGTCCCAGTAACTCCATTATGATCTGAATGTCTGCATGGCTTCAGAAGTCAAGGTGAAACCTAATCCCCACAGTGGTGGTATTAGGAGGTAGTTAGGTCATCAGAGCTCCACCTACATGAATGGCTCCATCCTGAGGAATGGGACTAGTTCCCTTATAAATGTTGCTTGAGTGAAACTTCCACCCCTTTCACAATCTTGGAAGCAGAGAACAGTCCTCATCAGCCACTAAGTCTGCTCGCTCCTTAACTTTGGACTTTCCATCCTCCACTATGATAAGCAAACACATTTCTGCTGTTTGTAAATTGTCAATCTAAATGTATCTTCTTGTAGTAGTTCATAAGGACTAAGACAGTGTTCTAGTAACAGGATATCCTTCAATGCTTTAGCCCAGAAAACCACATTTCTCTGGAGTAAAAAAATCCAGAACTGGCTTGTTTTTCAGGGTCCCTCAACTGCAGTGCAACTGAGGCATGTGTGGTCAACACTCCATCCACAAGCCATGCTCCTGAGCCTCAGGACACTGGCTTCCGTGAGTCCCAGGCTTCTGTTGTCCCTTGCTTGTCTGTAAGCAATAGTTGATTTCATGTAGCTTTTTGATTATGAGTCTATTATGTGTAA